TCGTCGGGATCAACTTTACAGTTTCAGTCTATTACGATAAAAGCTCGTGTGTGCTTTCGATACGCGCGCACCATTTGCGCCTTATTATCAAGAGATTACCTGTGTAAAACTAATTTCGAGAGTACATTCACAGTTGCTTCGTAAAGTCAAATAATATATACGCATGTATAAAACATATACACGTATACATATGTATATGTATTATATAAAATCGTCGCGCTGTTTAATTGCGCGACGTATATGTATCGTTTGTTTCTTTACTTGGATGGCGAAACAATTGATTGCACGATTACGATTAACCATTGATACCCGTTGCGGGATCGTTTAAGAAACAAATTCGAGACAATCGGGAACCATAATCCGTTTCGATTTTCGGTAAATGAGGAGGCTCGCGTGTTACGCAATTAAACAGGCAATTAAAACGGGGAACATGTATGTATAGGTGATGGAATTCGGACAGAATGGTCCAAGTACATTAGATGTAGAGAATTATTTCTATACCGATCGAAAGTTCGATGCGCAATAGAAAATGTTTACAAACTCATATATACGCGTCACGCTGACACATCTGTACACTGCAATAATACAAATCAGCTAGAGATGAATTGCAACTTAATTTACCGTAAGTTTATCGAGACGCGTCGCGTACCCTTTTTTTCCCCCCCTCTTTCTCGTCGATTCTCACCCTAAAAATTATACGATGAAAAAGTCGACTCGCGTGATTATCGATTATGTACAATCGTTCTACTTTCTAAACCATAAATAACGAACAAAAATATCACTTACTTAAAAGAGAACGCAAAAATTAGCAGTACAGAGAAACTCAATGAAATTAAGATCGACATTATATACTAGAGGTGTACACAGAATTCTCGTAGAATTTATTATTACTTTTTTTGTTGTATGATTCTCGTAGAAATTCTATACTATATACTGTATAGAGTATGTATAATGTATAGTATACGAAGTCTACGTTGAATTGAATCCACCATGGAAATCGAATTGAATAAATATATAACAGGCAATGCCACAGAGTGCTCCATTAATCGTAACATTAACGAACTATTGCTTTTTGCACTTTTCGAATTGTACAGGATGTGTCGCGCCGGATCGTTGCCGAACGTCTTCTCCGAAATTATGCTCGAAATGAACGTATTTGAATCGTGACGGTGTCGAACGATCGTGGATGCTCTCCTTTCATTTAAATGGAATGGTGCACGACGGAGTTTTCCGCTTCGCTGTTCGACAGGCCAGAGATCGTCCAGAATTTCAAATTACAGAAGTCGTAAAATGAGCCTCGCTTTCGAATAGAATGAATTTCGGAGAAAACAAGGGCGCGGTCGTGATTTTTTTACGCGGCACACCTTGTACATGTTCGGGAACATCGTACATTATTCTAAAAATCGTCGTGTAAAAATGTCGCTCGAGGTTGAAAACCAACCAAGCCGATTCCGAGATAGTATACAAGCGTATTGAATAAAAAGCAAAGAAGAAGGAGAAACGGTCGTAACGTAATTTACTCTTGAATTGCTTCGATCACAGGCAAGGTATGGAACAGCCACGATACTCTGATCTGTGAAACCTTTTGTCACACGTCGTAAAACTATCTTGTATAAAGAGAACAAGAATGGAAAATTGAAAGTCATGGCACGCACCCTCGATGATTAAGAACGTTAACATTCGAACTACCATATGTATAAGATATGTAGAAGAATTCTGGAGAAGTATATTACTGTTATGACAACTGTTTGTTAAGAGTAGCAGTAAGAGGAGCACCTGGATTCGTGTGACGCAGAAACGGAGAATAAAACGATTGGATTGGCGGGGTGACTGTCCTGTACCTGATCCGTGTCCTCGTCATCCAAGCATTTACGTTTACGAAGTTATTGATGTTGCGCGGTGTGATACATAGTACGTACGATGGCTGTATTGTCGTTAAAAAATATCATTTGTTTTCGAATACGTTTGGCAAGCATACACTTCGCTGGATCTGGAAGATCGAATCTTCGAGCGGGCAATTAAATAGAGGGCGACTATGTGAAAAATGACATGATGACTACGAGAGGACGGTTCGCAGTTTCCCCCAATGTGTCTCCCATTGCGACTTGTTTTTTCTGGCGTACCATCCAACTCCAACTCCCAGTCCAAGTTCGAGTCCGTGTTCAAATCCAAGTCCAAGTAGAAGTCTAAGTCCGAGTCCAAGTCCAAGTCCAAGTATAAGTCTAAGTCCAAGTCCAAGCATAAGTCCGAGTCCAAGTATAAGTCGGAGTCCAAGTCCAAGTCCAAGTCCAAGTCCAAGTCCAAGTCCAAGTCCAAATCCAAATCCAAATCCAAATCCAAATTCGAGTCCGAGTTTTGAACCAACGATGATTTCGTTGAAGTACGCAGTGTTGTTTGTGTGGGCAACGTTCACGTTGAGACTGATCACGTTGACCATGTATAATCTTTGAACGGCGAACGGGAGTTGTAGCTTGCTTGCTGCAGAATTAAACACCAACTTGCAGCACTGTTTGCTGTTGCAGATGTTGTCGGTGTTGCGACCGTTGCGTCGATCGCTAGATTGTTTCGCCGTCTGGGAATTGTCACCGCAAAATGATTTCGCCATTGATCATTGCCGATAAGTTTGGGAGGATATGCCGTTACCAGGTGTCACGTAATCGCCGATCATCAAGCTGGGATTCACTGGATAATGCGAGGTATTCCCAAGGACCAGCGATTGCTGGAAAGTAACACCAAGCTGTAGCGCGAAAGACCACGCAGGCAGGCGTACACTTTAGTATCCTTTCGCACATTAACGTATAATAGGAGTGCTTTGAATGTTTAGCGAGCTATTATGCTTAAACGAAAAACGTACACGACACAGGTACCACCACGACTTTACAGTTCCCACCGGTCGCGCGTGAACCAATATTTTTTTAAACCGGTATAAAACTTTGGGGTAATTAGCTCGCTGGTAATTGAAGTCACGTTCATTACAGACTTACCGTAGCGGGGGATGTGAACATGTTTGGAGTGATCCCGCCGCCTATCAATTGTGCCGCTTGTGTACTCGTCGCTGTGCCGCTCACCCGTCCCCGTCCAGTGCTCGAAATCGAACCGGGATGAATATTTGGCTGGCCTCCTGGACAAAAACCGTCGAATGAGTAAATAAAATTATCCAAATTCAGAGAATCTGTGTCGGATTTACGGTTTTACCAATTGCGAGTAAATTGCCAGGATTAACAGCTGTTGCGTCCATGGAAACTTCACCCAGACCATTAACAGACATTCCATTGACCATGTTAACAGCTTGCCTAGCACCTTGAGCATCCAATGTTGTCCAGTAAGATTCGCTAGGCGATGTATTATTTAAACCTGGAGGGGGCTGTGCAGCTGCACCTGTATATCTAAAGTATGGATTCTTCAAATCCAATGTATTACTACTGCTTTCCATGTTTGTACCTTCTAGCTTCAAGTCTATTGTCACATCATAGGATTGTCTGCAATTCATAGATTTTTGTGAGTCGTTGTACTTAGAAAACTACCATTTATTATTAATGAATTTCACCTTTTATTCGCTATAAGAATGACCTTTCCAGAAAGTAGTTGTCCGCTTTTACAGAACAACGGATTCTCTAGAAGGCAGCGCACTTGGTACCAATGCGTAAGGGGTTCTGTGGGAGCCGTACTTAACCAAACTTGCTGCGTCGATCCAATAAATGCAACATCGAACCAGAATGCAAGCCCGTGACACGTGCCACTTTCCAATATATGAAAATCGACATCGATTTCTGCGTATAACAAAATATATCCATCAACTTTCACAACTCGTACATATCTTCCAAGAGATTAGTCGCATAAAAAAAAATATACGAAACTTCACCTATTCTATGTAAGTCAGTCTCATTAGCAGTTTGGAAGTCTACTATATGTCTGATAGACTTGGCCATACAAATTCTTATATCAAAGGTATCAACGATTGGTTGTCTAAAGTATTCTTTAATCGCGTTGTTCCTCATTGCGGATAGATCTACACCATGGAAACACGTCTGATACCAAAAATTAGCCTTATTGAATTGCTCCATATAAAGATTCTCGTCAGAGAACGGTGCAATGTGAAGATCCCCGCGCAAAGGAAACATTCTTCCACCTACATGCGTGTAATTTAATTAGTTTATATATGAACAGGAAAACAAAATTAAATGTAAGCGTCATTTGTGAATATTTACCTGGTTGTAACCATTTTTTTGCATGAAGGTAAGTTTCAAGCATTCTTTCATTGTATAACATGTAACCCATAGGCTCACTGACTATACAGTCTACTAGTTCGGGTAATTCGATTTCTTCTATTTTACCAGCTATGACGATGATTTTATCCGACAAATTGTTCGCAGCAACAAGCAGTTCCGCGTGATTTGCCATATTACTCGCTTCTACCGCGTACACTTTCTTCGCGCCCGCTTGAACCGCGAAGAACGACAATATTCCTGAACCAGCTCCTACATCCAACACTACTTTATCTTTGAAATCTGATAAATTTCCAAGAATTGCACGCTGGTATGTACTGGTTCTAATATAATCCTGCATCATGTTTTGTTGTTGCGAGAGGTAACCATAAAACTGAAAGTACTGCATCGCCGAGGATTCTTCTGTTCTTTCATTAAATGCAGACACACCTTTGCCATTCTTAAGTTTTAATATTTGCGAATGAAAGTTTCGAAAATCTGTGAGAGTAACGATCGAGTTAATAGTCTGCAATAAGTATAATTAATTGAATTAACTCACCTGTTTCATTGGCAAGAGTTATAAGTATACTATCTGTTTCTAATGTGAATACATAACTTCTTGATGACACTCTAGAGCATTCAGTGCTGGGAGTCACTGGGAACTCCAACAATGTTGTTTTATCTCTACCGTTTGGATCACCTATTATAACAAAGAAAATATTTTATTAATTTTCCATAAAACGTGCAATCATATATAAATCCCTCATTGTTATTATGATAAAGTTTGTCTCTAGAACCAAACAAAAAGATTGCAAGGCTGTGCTCTCTGAAAAAAAATTGTGGATGAAGTATTTCGAACAATTAATAACACAAAAAAATAAACCTGAAATAAATCGTACTTCTTTATTAATGACTAACGATAGTGTAAAACCGTACACTACAGATATACCAAAAAAATCACAGTTTAAAAATAAGGGAAAAATAAGAGATTTCCAACCTCTCGATCGTAATGATAAAGGGCGCAGACTCGTGTAATATTTAAAGTTTATCCGAGGAAGGATGCTTAAATCACACTCATTGGAGTGTGGTTATGTTGATTATTCCGGGACGACGCTGACGCGATTCATAAAAGATGATTTATAGATAAATTGGTACCTGCGAGAAACTCGACACTGAGTCCTTGCGGATCATAGTTGATACTGAGAGTAACCGGCTTGTTATATTTTGGTGTTGACTGTCCATTGTTTGACAAAGTCGATACTGTCACCGTGCGAAACACCTTCGCCATTTTTAGATACCGCGTGCGTATCGTACGCTGCAGTTGTACGATGGGTTCTCTTGTGCTTTGCTCCTATCGCGATAGTTGTTTCGCAAGGAATCGTTTGATAAAAAAAAAAAGAATACAGTTATTGTCCGTTTGGATACAGTTCACACAACGGATATCAAAGAAAACAGCCGAAATCGGAATTTTTCACGTTCGCACACCGTTCCATCGACTAACCACCCCCGGCGCGTATTACACACGCGCACTAAGGTCACTAGCACACTAAATACATGTATACATACCTAATACCTAATTTAATTCCCTAGATCTGCAATACATACACGCACAAATTATACGTAGCTGTACACACACACACACACAGAAAGGCTGCGCAAAGAATTTCGTTTTTCAAGAACATTGTATCACGGTCACAGAATACATGAAGATAATAATTCTTTGCGATTGTACATGTACATTTTTGCAATACCATGCGTTAAGCCGCATTTTCACCTGTTTCGCTTTATTGTACAATTTCGTTGCATTACGCACTTAGAAAAACTGCATCCGCCTAAATCATTACAATTGTAATAGTGCATCGAAGGTCCTTAAACTTCTCAACAAACAGTACTCGGTTAGCGCGGGAAACCTAGTGACTATTGTATGCACTTGTATTACCAATTGTCACCAACTTAGCAACCCATGTACACACATATTTTCTACTTTGTAACAATTTCTTAATTCTTTACGAACAAAATCTTTTTTAATTTCTCTTTTCAATAGGTTTAGTATGCTTACATTCTTTATGAAACAATGCATATACGGCAGAACATATGTAAAAGTTTCATTAAGGGAAAGATGCTACGTTTCACGACAATTTGCTTAATATTATTTGAGAATTGTAATTAATTTATTATAAAGACGGCATTTGTCTGTAAAATGGTGGGTAGAACTTTGCAACTTCCTACGAGTAGGTAATTCGGTTGAATAAAACTATTGTATTGTAACATAATTGGTGATAATTGAGATAGTACATACATACATACATATATGTATAACATAACAATTATGTTTCGTATAATTTAATAAAATTCCTGAAAGCAGGATCAGCCAATGGTCTTCGAGTTTCGTATATGTACACGAAATCTGCAACGTGATTGGTCGCAGCGCTACCATAGCTTGAAAGTTTCCCAGGTTTTCCTAACCGAGCAGTGCGCACACGATCAGTGCCCTACGATACTCTGATCGATAAATACGATTCGGGTGATAACTCGAAACTCGAAGGCTGGCGGCGTGGCTGATTGCTCTCCCCCATTTTTGACAGTGCATCGAGATTATTGCACTTTCTCGTGAAAATGACGGCTCACGATCAAATGCGAGCTATGCTTGATCAATTAATGGGCACAGGAAGGAATGGTACGTATTATTCGCTTGCAAGGAGGGGAAACTCGTTCCCTGCAATACTGTTATTTACAATTATCTAAAATCTACCACAAAAATACAAGATGGTGGCCTACACCTTCGTCAATACATGGACTGCATATCCAGTTATGTGGCATTGTTGTTGATTCGTATCTTATATTTTCAGGTGAAAATAACAAATTTCAAGTGAAGTACTCCGATCCAAAGGTGTGCAAGAGTTTTTTGTTGGCGTGCTGTCCACATGAAATCTTATCGTCGACGGTGAGTGTAATTCGATATTAGCACATATTGGAATACGGGTGATATACCATTGGCACTATGCGCTGTCGTAGAGAACTTTCCATAGACTTTAATATTTCTCAGCATTAATGCAAAAGCAATCTGATGTTTCCTTTTATTGTTATGGATCCTATTTTCTTGTTTAGTTAGACGATTCAAATGCTTTAATTTCATTAGCAAGCTCATCTGCTTGTCTTTCTGATGCTGTTATTAGATTAACTTGAGCTTTTTAGACTTCTCGATCGCTAAGTCTATCCTATGACTGTCTATAGCGAGTGCTCATTTTATAATTTCATTTTGAATCGTGTAACAACAATTTTATATTTCTTGGAAAGTATAGATTTCTTTAAATAACGATCATAAATAACATATGTGCAACCATATTTTTCTGCACATTTTTTGTATTGAAAGTAGAATCTTGAATTAATTACTTTCCAATTCAGCAATGATACGATGTGCATAGTGCTTTTTGTCGCAAGTGATTGATTTAATCAGATCCTCAGATTATACAAAATACTAGCTAATAAGAATCAGTTTTGCGATTTGCATACAATAGGATGATGTTTGCGTAATGTGCTTCAAGAATTGATTCCGATCAATTCCCACTAGATAGGCGTTGAAGTGCAACACGGGGCAGCATATTATGATAACATGGAATCATCCCCTAGATTCTCATAAAAGAGGAAAAAAGTGGAATTAAATCATGTACCAAAACTTGAAGAAGAAATTTGTATTTGCATCCATGAAAAGAAGTTTTCTTGAGTGACTTATACAGCATTAATTTATAGAAGACTTCCACTTTTTCCCTGACAATATTAAGGAATATGCTGTACTTTAAACTACTCTCCAAGTAAAGACCCTAATACGATTACGAAAGAATAATACTCGCAGGAAAACATAGATATTACAATCATAAGATTTTAGTAGAAATACTCCAACCAAATGAGAGTATACATTTCACAGTAATACTGCTTCGCGCATTTCTTTGTCATCTTGTGCGAATTGGTCCAAAGGGTGTTTGTTAAATCTCAATTCAATGTCTTATATAGCTCTTCCTCAGTATCTAAAAAGATAAAATGTATTTAGTTTATTAAATCCTAGTCTAATTTTAAAATAAGATAGTAATGTTAAAGAAAATCAATTTATATCCATTATGAAAATATTAATTTATAGGGAAGCTACGTATTGTTAGGTCTCAGTGTTTTATTTTAGAAATCATAATCATTTTATTGAATAAAAGTGTCTTTTATAGTTAGCAAGCACCCTTTTACATTTTTTCATGTAGGTGTCCACACTAGAATTGACAACAAACGCCTAAATTAAAATAAAATAACGTAAAGAGTATTCTCGATTAATTGAAAGAAATGAAAAAAGAAATGCAAGTAAAAGAGTAAAGCAACTTTTGGAAAAAGAAACGAAAAATACTTCTGGCAAATACTCGCGAGAATGAACTATACACAGGTTCACTAATGTCAATGTACCTACAGTTCTATTTCCAGAGTCTCTGGAAAAAAGCAATTCCAATCTGATCCATTGTACAATATTGTTGCGAGTATTGTCCGCTCATATGTCGTGTTGTCTTGTCGCTCTCACATGCGCGTTACTGTAAGTACTGAAAGCGAAGAGGACGTACGTATTACAATTCTACAATTTGATTACCTTAACATAATTCAAGTACTAGGTGTTAATTCGATTGAGATTAAGGCGGACGGTCACCTCAGCCCCTCTACCGGTAACCACGGTGGCGAGGCTGAGTGCCGAATATTAATTCCGAGACCCCTGAATGGCCTGATTAATGTTGGTGAGTAGCGCCATTGCTGATTCAAGACGACGATATCTCTTATTGTCGCCAATTACTAATATTGCCGTTTACGGCAGGTAGAAATCAAGTTTACATTTGAAATTATATTCATCCTCTCGGGATACGAGATGTAACGGGTACAGGAAATGAAGCAGTAATCTGTAAGTAAGACCATGCGAATTGCCAACGAAAACATTTTCACGTTCGAATCTCGGAAATTCTTCCATTTCGTCTCAATAACACTTTTTGTTCAATCGTTCGTTGATTCATTAATACGCTATGAAACTTGGATTAGTCTTTTAAAGAGATATCACGCGTAGTTTTTCAAGATTTTCAGACCGGCGACTTAATATTTCAAACAAATATTATCCCCAATAACAAAAACGATTGATAGAGATTATGTTAGTGTCTCTGGCGGTATTTCAGGACAGATGTAAAACTCGTTCCAGTTCTTCGGTTTCGGTTTTTCTGCTTGAAGCATACAACATTAGGGAGATCCCCAAAAAGATGTGTAGTTTTATTGTAAACAAAACAGGACTTCATGCTTAGATTAAATCAGTGTTATCTCGGTTTTTATTAAAAGAGATGAGAAAAACACGTTCGACAACCAACAAGGATAATTCAGAATCAAAAAACTATTTTGGCAATTTGCAAACCAATTAACATGCCCAAGAGTAAAAACTTGAGAAGTGGCATGAAGCAGATTGAAAGAGAAAAATAAAGTGAAAAAGAATGAGGGGGAGAAAGATAAAGAAAGAACGAAAGAAAATCAGTGAGAATATTAGGCAGAATTGTACAGCATGCCAGTTCTGTTAAAAAAAATTTACTTCAACATTGGATGTACGTATTGAACTCAGTTTCTAAATCATCTAGAATTGATTCATTTAAGGCAATTCGAGTCCTATCTAAAATAGTATAATAAACTATTAGGCTGTAAGTTGTTTCATAGACATTGAACATATGAACTTAAGGTGTGTGCTGATTGTAGCTTCATTGTCATCGCATTGTCGTGTCAGGCGGAGAGGTGTTACCACTCTGTAAGTGAACATAACAAAATATTTATCTGTAAAATTGCATTTTTACTTTGTCCGAAAGATAAAAACAAGAAACAAAACAAAAATAATTGAGTATATATATATGTATATATATATATATTGTATATTGTCTATGTATAGTACCTACTAGAAGAGCAACCATTTATACATTCATGTATTGAAAATATCTTTAGACCATAACACTCTTCTGAAAATTTAGGGTTTTTAACTTCTGTTATTGTTACTGCGCATAACAAAAATTATTTGTGTAATTATCAAGTATTAACTATGTTATCTGTTACGAAGAGCGAATTAAGATACAATAAGATTTCATAGAACAACTTGGGAGGGATTACATAAACAAAAACAATAAGGCTTTCGGCTATAAAATATATAAAACCTAACGCATGATTTGTAAATCGCAGCGCATGGACCTGGGAGAATGCCCCCAGATTCACGACTTGGCCCTACGGGCAGACTATGAGGCCGCGCAAAAGAAGAAGGACCATTTTTATGACATCGATGTGAGTATCAGTCTCGTACAGTAACATCAAAGTAATTCAATGCAGTAACGTACACGTATTCTAATGGGATATTTCTGTTTTGTTTTAAGGCCATGGAACACCTACAGAATTTTATTGCTGACTGTGATCGTCGCACAGAGCAGGCAAAACAACGATTAGCAGAAACTCAAGAAGAACTTAGTGCTGAGGTAGCAGCGAAAGCAAACAACGTTCACGTTCTCGCAGAAGAAATTGGTAAAAAATTGGCCAAGGCTGAGCAGCTCGGAGAAGAAGGTTTCGTGGAGGAGTCCATGAAGCTCATGGGTGAGATAGACGAGTTACGAAAAAAGAAGAATGAGGCTGAGCAAGAATACCGCAATAGCATGCCAGCATCCAGTTACCAACAACAAAAATTGAGGGTATGCGAGGTGTGCAGCGCATATCTCGGAATTCATGATAATGACAGGCGACTTGCTGATCATTTTGGTGGGAAACTTCATTTGGGTTTCATCAAGATTCGTGAAAAATTGGCCGAACTACAGAAGACTGTGGAAGAAAGACGTAAAGAGAAACGCGAGTCGTTGTTAGATAGACGAAGAGACAGGGACAGAGATGACCGTGACAGAGACCGCGATAGATCGGATCGACGTGGAGGATTGGGTTACAGAGAAAAGGATCGCGACCGCGATCGCGAACGTGACCGCGAACGCGACCGTGAACGCGACCGTGATCGCGACCGTGATCGCGAACGTGATCGTGATCGTGATAGAGATCGCGACCGCGAACGTGATCGAGACCGCGATCGTGATCGTGAACGCAGAGACAGAGATAGGAGAAAGTCACGATCTCGCAGCCGCAGTCGTGGTAAGAGGTAAGTCGATTTTAATGGAAAATGATCATGCGAAAAAATAATGTTTTATGATCCATTCAATATCATTCCAATGATCATGCACTTGAATTGTTTCAGATCTAAACGTTCACGCAGTAGTAGCCGTAGCCGTCGATCTCGGTCTCGCCGTAGTGGATCTAATGATCGAAAAAGATAAAATCAGTTGACATTGATATAATTATGCTCAATCATTTTTTCCTCATATTAAAAGTCACACGTGCTTACTTGTGCACAGTACATGTAAAAACAAAAAACACGCTCTCACCGAATACGAATAATTTTTTTCTTAAAGAAAACTGAATTTTTTTAACATTGCCAGTCACGTCTTATTCAAGGAAAAAAGAAAACACCAATATTCCGAGATATCTTTTATGTAAAACTAAGCACATTCCTGTTAACATAAGAACAGGATTGAATTTACTAGATATCAATATATTAATACCCTTATTCTACACTTGCTCTTGATACAATATACTTTTAAATCTAGTTATTATTTCGTGTACATAAGAATAGAATGAAATGTAATTCCACGTAATTAGGAGATGTTGCATATTTATAATATGATTACTTA